TTTCAATTACTTGGCATTAAAATTCCCGTGATAATGAAATACAACTTGAGATTTTTTAGGCTTACTCTCACTCAAAGAGATGGCAATTAAATATATTGAGGATTTTTAGTGAACCATCACCAGCATGAACTTTGATTTGGATTAGTTGATGATACAAATTGGAAAAAAAGAAAGAAAACTCTACGTACCATATTTCCCCTAGCCTAGTACATCTGCTTAATGTTTTCTTGCAATGTAATCCCTAGTTTTCATTTCTTGAAAAGAAAAACAGAAAAATCATAAATAGAATTCACTTGTGGATGATGAAGCAAGATTTGTAATAAGACTCTCTTTGGTCCTTTCTCTTTTTAATTCAACATTGTCTAAAACAGGTTACTGGGAGTTCATCTTGTTGAATTATGTAAATATTTGTGTTTCTTACTCTTATAGGTTAGTTGTTTGTTCAAGATGATACAATTACATGAGATCTTGTGTTCAAATCTCGTCGCTGATAATTAAAGACTTGCACATGCTTGATCCAAAACCTAGCTTTCACTTGAGAAGGCACGTGGAAGTATACAAATACTTACATTGCATCCTCTCTAGTAGCTTAAGTTTAAAATAGTTTGTGGTTCACCAGATTTATCGTATTCTTTAAGTAGTATATTTGATTTATAGCAGATAATTTAAATGAGATTCAAACCCTAAGCTATGTATACAACATCCAATTGCTTAAACTGCTTAGAAAAGTATTTCATGCTGTAGGCTTATGGTAACCTTCTTGAATGTGCTAAATTTGCTAGTGTACTATTAGCTTTTCTTCTCAACAAAAAGTATGACTGCACGGAAATTATGTTTTATTTTGAACGTGTGATCAGTATACAGAACTCATCCCTCTTTGTAGTAGTTCATTTGTAATTTTGAAGTGGATATGACCACTTATACTTGTATTGACCGACAAACTTGTATTGATCTTCAATCTCTGTAAATTTAAGTTTCAGAATCTTCAACATATTTTAGCTTTTCAAAGGAGTTGATACTTCCTCTAAATTAGCATATTAAATTATGATCAGGTTTTGCAATGAGGGCCAACCATCTATATTTGCATAGAATGAAAGAAAGAAAGAAAAGAAATAAGTAATGATACCAAAAGTTAATGCCGTTGAATACAGGCAATGTGGGAATGTGCACCAGCTTTTGAGAGGTTCATACGCTATACAGTTATGAAGTACACATCCGAAAAAGATTAATATATGTGTTCAAAGCTTTCTTACAAATTTGTGCAGATCCATTTGTTGCTTCTTGCAGTTCCTACCAATTAGTGTTTAGTGACTCCCAGCGAATACCACATACATTGTGCATTGCTGGATCTCTCTTTGCATTCAACTGGTTCAAAGCATTTTTACTCTTTTTATTCAGGTCTTCGTCTTCATATGTTCAGATTACTTCTCAAAGTTTTTCCAGTCTTCAAATAATAGGGATTAGCTTTCAAAACATTTAACCATAACTCCAAAAACAAAACTAACAACATCAACTGTTTCCCACTGGGTGTGATATGTTTGGGGCTGGTGACCACTAGGCTATATGGCACAAGTCATACTAGAGTAGAGAGCAGGACAAGCAGATAAATATGAGAAAAGTAACAGCAAAACCATCACTAGCACAAACGGTATTCTAATAGATCTCAAATAGGGTGACATATCAAGGGGAAATGTAGCCTAAGAATCATCGTTCCAACAGTTGTGCATAAAGTTCACATGACATGACAACTGATGCTAAAATATATTTACTCCTTTTCAAAATGTCCTTCAAAATTAAATGTCCCTCCCTTCACGATATATCTTCCTTTAAGAAAAAAGGATTTAACATATATTGATCTCTAGCTTTCTCTTTAGTTGTTTACTAATCAATTGACATATCCAGATTAATCACTCTACAAAGGGCACAGAACACTAATATCACTACCATCAATTTACATAACTAGCATAACATATCACGATGAGGAATGAAAGTTCCATCAGTTCTAATAATCTTTACCCCTATATGTAGCACTACTGAAGTAAATGGCCCTCACAGTGTATTGGGACAGTATACATGGTTTGTAACCAAACTAACCATAAGATCCAAGATTCTTAGGTGATTCATGTATTTCACATTAATTTCTTTGTCTTTCATTTATTTGTTTTGGACATTTTGGTAGATGTTACAAATAAGGGGAAGGATCTCATTATAATTCAAGACAACCTATATGATATTGGGCATCCTTGCAGAGAATATTACTCCCAATACTTATTCAGATAAACACTGTGACAACCGTGATTCCGAGAGTTGGGTCTCGTGAGTTGTGCGAAGCTGAGTAAGGTCTCGAACGTGTTTTAAGGTTATGACTATGGTGAGGAATATTTTTTTTTAAGAAAATATTTAGCAATGAGAGGCTACTCGAATCATGCCAATTGAAAAGGATCAAAACGATTGAGGTTAGTGAGCAAATTTGATCGGCTAGGGGTTCGAGGCTAGGTGTGTAATTTAAATTGGTGTGTGTGGGTCTCGAAAGACTTAATTGGTATTTTTAGGATCATTAAATTAATGTGTTTGAAATAAAAAAATAAATAACTTTTGAAAGTTGTGGGGAGGTAAGCGTGATTGTATAGAACTTTTGGTTAGTCATGCTCAATATATGGTGGGATAAAATGTATAGTATCATCTTTTGTATGGGTCAGTTGGTAGTTTTCCATAAGTTCTCTATCTTATAACATATTAGAGAAATAAAAGTCAACCATAATAAAAAGAAAAGGATAGGTGTCTACCTTGTAAGTGATAAAGCATGAGGTGTAAGGAGGGTGTGCATTATGATTTTACTCTAGCAATGTGAAAGTAACCTATGGGGGCTGGGAATGAGTCAGCCAGCAAGGGAAGTATAAAACAAATTAGAAAACACAATAGGGACATGCAGGGTATGGTGTGTTGTGTGAGTTTGTGAGTAGAAAAGAAAGAAGAAGTGGTGAGAAAAGAAGGGTGGTTTCGGTGGAAAGGAGATAAGGCCTTCATGGGTGTTGTTCTTAGGTGTGGGAGAAAGAGAGACACATGGATAAGAAGAGAAGGAGCTGAACCATGAGGAAGAGAAGAGTGGAGAAGAAAAGAAATAAGAAGAAGAAATGATCCTGTCAATTCTGGACAGTAGGTGAGTTTCTTATTTATTTCAAAAGCTACGATTATTTAATAATTCTGGAATTTTGAGGCTATAATATAGACTGAAAAAGGATTCGTTTAGTTTTGGTTTCAAGTAAAATGGAAATACATACTATTTCTGGTGATTTCTGAAAGTTAGCCCCGGTCTATAGAAAATTGTTCTAGAAAATTTGGACAGCATGTAGTTTTATAATTGGTTTTATGAGTTAGAGTTCGTTTATGAATCTTAAACTTTGAGGGTTTGAAATAGATTCATACAGGGTTATTTTGGCTTTGGTCTCACGGCAAAAGGATGAAAACTCAATTTTTGGTGAATTTCTAAAGATGATTATGACCTGCTGGAACCTGAAAATCCTGTAACTTATATCTAGCTTTAGGAGTTACTTTGAACAAGTATTTAGTATTCAAAAATAGTGATTTGGTGCAGGTTTGAATTCTCACTTGGCGAGCTTGGCATACAAAGTACCCAAGTTTTTGTTTGGTAGAGTTTCTCAATTCCGGAATAGGCGATGTTTTTCCAACTTGTTTCTAAATTATTCCATAATTTATGTATGATGCTTTAGCATGTTTTGAAATATCTGATTGAGTGTTTTGAATATTGACTTGGATCCGGACCCGGATGCAAGGTTTCTGAGCGCGGGTTGAACTAATGTTTTGGAAATGACAGTATTGCTTGAATTGTTAGTATTGAATGTAACTCCAGGATCCTTTTATGAAAATATAAGTGCACACGAATCGAGTGGCAAAAGGATTTACATTCCAGTTTGAGGCCGTAGAGGGTACTTATTGAGTTTGTAAATGCTTGGGTGGCCTTATTGATCTTCGGACTTGGGTACTGAATTGGATCGTATTAACTTGGGAGCGTATTTTCTTTGGGGTGAATGTCTCATAAATTATTGGATCGTATGTTCGTATGAACCCTTTAGTGGTCTATTAGGATGGATTGTTCACCAGTGTAGCACTGTACTTGAATTTTTGAACTCTCTTTTACAGTTTTATTTAACTGTTACAGTTCCACATGAAATGATGTTTCTTTTTGCTAACATATATGTATCAAATGCTTGTTTGGATTCTTGCCCAATCATGCTAAACTGTACTATTTTCAAACTTGTTTGCTTGGAAATTGAGTTACTTTACTGAGTTGTTGCTGCTCACCCTACATTATTTCCCCTTTTTCAGATTAGCTGGTGGCCAGGAAGTCCGCATATGTTTAAATTGTCGATGTTTTCTTTAGCAAAGATTTGAAAATGTGTTATGTTATAAGGGTTAAGTTGAAAGAGTATTATATCTAAGACGTGTAAGTTGTAATAGTCTGGATGTACATGAAATTAATGTATATGAAATTAGTATCAGAATTTATTCATTATTTGGAGACTGTATCATTTAGTGATTGTGAAAGTTATTAGCGCTCTTGAAATATTACGAAAGTGAATGAGGGTGTTACAAACACTGTCCATCACAGACTAACTTCCCACAAACAAAAGGTCTGGCAAATGATGTAAATAAAAACAAAAGACAAAAATGAATGAATTATTTGTGATATCTCATATAAGGAGATTAGGAGCACAGTAAATGGTGGAAAAAACATCATTGAGAAGATGTAAAAGTAACAAAAATGAAGAAAGGAGCATGTGGAAGTCAGTGGCCAAAGTATATGAATTCAAAGAGTTAAAATCGTTTCCAACACTAAAAGACAGTCCTTGTCCAGTTTTTCCTCCTTTTAGCCAAAATAAAACCCCCAGTAAGGCCAATTGTGGTTGTCTAAAGGTAATTCTTTTCCTCTCATCTACAATTACTAGTTGCTTAAGGAAGGAAGAATTTGAATATATCTTTCAGATGGGTAAATCATTCGCTTCATCATAATTTAAGTTGCCTATTTCATAAAGGAAAGAAAAATGATGACATCTTACCATCAATCCCCGACTGCGTGAACGAGGAAGATCTTGAATATATTTTTCGAAGGCCTCTAATCTTACTTTCCCTTTAACTTCTACAAGTTCAGACCAGTTGATATCAAGCAACTTCTCACCACTACATGAAAATCATGGATAAGATCAAGAAATCAACATTCAGCCTTCAAAACAAGAGGAATATATATCCCAAGGTCAAAGCTACATGTTCAAAAAAAAAGGTCAAAGCTAATTATAGCTAAAATTGTTTGATAACACAAGCTACTAGGGTCGGATGAGTTGAGTCAATTTCAACTGGCTTATATTTGGGTTACTCCCCAAGTCAACCAAATCCTCACTTCGAAAAAATTCTCCTGATTTCAAAACTAAAAGGGAGAAAAAGTTGAAATTGTACAATAATCATAGTCACCTGGAACAAATGACAGATACCAAAAAAAAGGACTTCATAACAGAAATTATCTACAATAGATACTTAACAAAAAGGCTTTTGAGGGCTTTTCTCTTAGAATAAATTTAATAAAACTTCCATTCTTCTAAAATACACATGAACAATTGGTTTGTCAATAGCAGGCAGTAAGGAAACATACCCACCAAGAAAAAGTAAAAAAGCAAAAAATTCTTGCCAATTGGATTTTTTAATTTACTTCTCTCTGCTTCTCTTGTTCTTCTCATCTAGAAGACACCTTTCTGGAGCTTTCTTAATGATTAAATTGATAAGAAAAATTCAAAGACAAACATGACTTAAAACTCCAAGGTAAAAGAAACATCAAAGCATAAGACTAAAGAGTGTATCACAACAAAAGAAAACAAACAAAGGAAAATCAACAAAAGAAAAACCAGTAGTTTAATACAAGACCATGCATGAATAAAATCTCTCAAAATCTACCATATAGTCCTATACTAAGTCTTCAAAATTGTTTCAAACTACAAAACGGAGCCATGTATGTAAATCATTTATAATTTGTATACATGAAAAGGAATGTGATCAATTTGTAATAGTGTCTATATCTAAATTGAACATAGACCTTTTGAAGAAGGCAAGTGTGGACACAACTTGGGAGGAATTTAACTGAAGCAACCCATTCCAAAGATTTTCAGCAACTATAGGAGCTGCTTTGCCAGAAGCTAATATCCTCTTCTCCTCTAATTTGGGAGAACCATGACTTGGGTCATTTTCTTGACCATGTGCCCCAATGCTAGCATCACCATTACCATGGTTAGCAGAAATTTCCTCTGTAAAAGAATATTTCAAATTCTCCATATCTGCTGCCTCTGTTCCTTCAGTTACTTTGGCGTCTTCCTCTCCATGACCTGGTTGCCTACTTTCAGAGCTGTCACCCAAAATAATACCTAAAGTAGCACTGCCAAATTGTACTTCATTTTGCAACAATTTATGATTTCTGGTTTCCACTGTGTAAACAGATGCTCCCACAGAGGCCGTCCCTACAGACAATATGTCACTAATTCTTGCATTGTCTAAAAAATGCCCCCTTTGTTTCAATCCACCAGAAATTTGAAATTTACTGGTTCCCTGAAAAGATGGTCTATCGAAACCATGAGAAAACCTGTTAGACTGTATAAAGCTCTGTTGTGATGTTTCCATAGGTATCTCACACTCAGATGATGCATTGCACACTTCCTGTCTGTCTGAGAAACCACGATCCTTGATCCCAGAATTCATTAGAGCTTCCAAACCAGGATCAACCTTAGGTTTTCCTGTATGTGCATTATGTGAACTCGGGAGGGACAAAGAGTTATGAGCTCCACTGTGGTCTAACATATGATGAGGAGCCAGGGGTTGCCAAGTTAATACTTCAGGTGCCTCCCCAACTGGCATCTTAATTAGTGAGAAAGGTCTTTTGGACTGTACAAAATGTGGTGTCACAGTTAAAGAGGCATTTCTATGCAAGTCCCAATTACTAGTTAACCTGGTTTCTGGAAAAACATTCCGATGATGGAAGTGATCATTCTCAAACTGATTCCTAAAATTTATAGGTTCAAAATTCTTCCTTTGATTTGAGCACAGTTCATGAGTATTCCCTGGTCGAGTAATTCCTGAAATTGAAGTAACCTGATGCTCCCAAGGAAAACAATATTCAGAAGTGGTGCCCAGTAGATCCATCGCTCCTGATTTCCTTTTTCCTGCTGATCCACCTAGAAAATCCATATTAAAATTTTCTGAAGTTGGTGGAATTATCTTGATTCCCCTTATGAGGCCACTCAAACCTTTGGTGGGAGGCCAGTTACCTGACTCGGTAAGATGATGTTCTCTTTTCTCATGCCATCCTATTTTTTTTATTTCTTGATAGTAATCAATAAGAGTTTATACATAAGGGATAATCGAATGTCCGAGATACAATCCTAACAAGCTTCACTCTCCGATTAATCATGCTGATCTTGTTTACTGGCTGACCCAAGACCTGCAAAGACAGACAAACAAACTAATTAAGGCGAAGTAAACAAGAATATGGCAACGCCACAATTATTTTATTATTAGCTTCAACTTTGCTGGAACCAGAAAAGATAAAAAAGGCCTTTTTTGACTTGGAAATGAATTATATCACCACGAAAACACTAATAAAAAATTTCCTTGAAAACACTTCCAATAGGATAAGATCATGGTCATATGTACAGGTGGGTGGTAAAAAGAATCCCCTAAACTTCACAAGCCTTACATTGTGCATGTAAACAGCCCAAGTAAGAAGCAAGCTTATTGGAATTCTAGTTCAACCACATTAAATTGTTATTCTGTTTGTTTAGAGGGATTATGGTAGAAAATGAAAGAAAGAGAAAATTTTAAAATTTTGTATGTGTTTGGTTAGCGTGAAATGAAAAGTAATGGAAAAAAACATTCATCTATTCCTAGATTTTCTCACAAATAACCGAATTTTTTTCTTGCAAAAAGCACAAGAAAAAGCAAGAAAATGATGATATACAAATGTAGTTCCCATTTTTCCCTTCCTCTTACTTAAAAATTCAACTAGCCATTAATTTAAAAAGGTTTGGTATGGACTAGACCGACAATATAATCCAACCTGAAGGTTTGTGTAGATCCTTGTACCAACACTAGTCCAAGAGCCACTTTTTATTTTTTAAATTTGTAGTTATAATTAGTCATTTTGAGTATAGTTAAGCATAATTTGAACAATTATAATGATTTCTTGTAACTTTTCTACTTTCCAAGCAACAGAATGAAAATTTTCTTTTCTAAAACTTTCTTGCAAATTTTTTATACTAACCAAATACTTGCATAAAATATATTTCTTTCTTTTTTCCTTTCTTTCACTTTATTTGCTATCTCTTTCACTTTCCATCATTCTTTGTTTGCTAACCAAATGGCCCCTTTAGCGTTGACCACTTTGGCACTTTCTTAAAACCAATACTTGCTACAACAAAATGACCATGGCAAGGTCTAGGATCACATCCCCAGTCACATTCCTTGATTCAAATTGAAAATCTTATGACCCTATCGTATTCTTCACCATCCTCCGTCTCTTATGTGTACAACAAGTATGATATCTTCAACCAATATCACCTAAACTATCTATTTTCCTGAAAATCGCAATTTCCAGAATCACACAATACTACTTGGAGTGCATCTAAATGATAGCAACTTTTTTTTTGTTGTGGGGACCTGTATTTTTTTTTTTTTTTGGGCTTAACACTATGGGAAAACATGAATCTACAAAAGTGATCATGCATCCTTACAAAGAAAAAAAATTAACAAAAAGTAAAAAAAAATTGCAAAAATAAAACTCAATTTTGTCTCGTCCCAGCAGCATAGAGTTGTTACAATCTACATGAAATGAAAACCATAGACAAAAAGAAACACAAACCCCTACATAAACCCACCAAGATGAAAATTCTCCTGGAACCAAAGTGTCTTCCAAATAGTGTAGTATTGCTACTCCCCTTTAGTTGTTATCCTATACCTAACTATATAATCTCATAATCCAAGCAGCCTCCACATTCATTACAACACGTGGTGTTACTGGCCCAGCCCGAACCGACGGGTCTACCTAGAGCAGTAGTGAACCAGTACCTAAACTGGGCCAGGTTATTCTTTGGATCATTTAACCAAAGAGCCGTGAAGGACCTAGTTGACCAGAGTGGTTTTTAGGCCACCCGCTTGAACTTGCCAATTATTTTAAATTGAGCGGGTTAGATTTCTGATATAAAATCAAAACATTCATAGCCTAAATGATCAAATTCTCATTCTCTCTCATGCCTATGCATCTCTCCCCATCTCCCATTAACCAACCACCACGTAAAATCACCGTCTCTTGTTGCAACCCAAAACCTTCATCATTTCATCTCTCACGCATGCCTCACAACAAGTTCATCTCTCTCACATGTAGTCACAAGCTCACGCGCAATTTCTAGCACCTCTCACAATCTCAACTTAAGGTCTCACCTCCTCTATTTGATCTCTCCTCATGGTCCCTCGGATCTTGTGATCTTAACAGCATACTATAATGCTATAGAACATATAAAGATGAGTTATGATTTTATCAATCTTCTATTGGATATTAAACCTAGCTCAACTAATTAATTATTTAATTTATCCAATAAGTTTATTTGTTTATTATGATATTTGGAGTAGTTGTTTATAGAACAAATTTTAGAGTGACACTATTAGATTATAGTTGGAGCCATATTAAAGGTGTACTCCTTGGTCTGCTGGTTCTTGTAGCAGTAGACTTAGATTTAAGAAAAAATGCAGCAATTCTTGATCATTGAATAATATAGTTTTGCATCATTGTTTTCGACTTTTTTCAAATATTGTTTATTGTTCTATTAATCAATCTTTGTTTTCGACCAGTTCTTTGTGTGAGTGATTCTTTGCTTAATTAATTTGTGAAGGCCTACATCTTCAAATAAAATCAATATGCTCACAATCTAAATCCTATGTCAGATTCAAAGTTGGTATGATAATACTCATAATTTGTTCATATTTGTATAATCCCACACTATAATATTCTTATCACAATTTGTTTACCTTTTTTGAGCAAAAATATGCCTTGTGGGTGTGTTAGTTTTTTTTTTTTTTTTTGTGTGTGAGTTTTTATAGGACATCTTTAACATAAATCATGTTATTTTTATAATATCAATTATAAAAAATTTTACTATTTATAATTAATTTTTATTTTTATTGTATCACTAGGCCAACGGTTGGGATAAACAATTAGCATTGTGGTATGTTGGTTTTTTTTGTGAGATTTTATAAAGACCCCTTTGACATAAATCATGTTATTATTATAATTTTCAATATAATTATTTTTTTATTTTATAGCAGGACCAACTACAGTGTTCAAGCTCGGCTAATTTCTAAGCCAACGAGCTCAAGTCAAGCCCAAAATAAGCCAAAACCGAGTAACTCGACTATTTTGTATATAAACGAGTCAAACTTTTCAAGCTCGAGACTAAAACGAGTCGAACTTATAGGCCTCATTTTTTAGAAGCTCGGCTCGGCTCATTTTCTAAGTGAACGAGCTCAAATCGAACTCAAAACGAGCCGAATTCAAGCTACGCCCAAGTAACTCGAATCGTTTACTATCCTACTGACCAGTTGACCCAACAATCGAACCACTGACTCATTAACCCGGTGCATGATTTAATAACTATGGCCCTACCTAGATCCTAAATCTCAAAGAAATGACAATACTAGCACAAGAAAACATCCACAACCAAACATCCCAATGAAACAAGATGCCCTACAACACCGTCTCCAATGACCACTAAACATTCCTAAAGACAAAGAATCTTTTCTGGGGGTGAAGCTGGTAATCACTATTAGAGAAAAAGAACTAGAAGTACCTGTGTAAATATGTGAAAAGATATTCCTTTGACTCTTAATTTATCAAGCGAACCTATGATTTTTTTTTAGACCAAAAAACAGAGAGTTTCTCTAACCTACAACTTCTAAGTTCACATTTTTTAATTGATCTGATAAAATAATTCACTCTTTCACAACCTCCGTTGTAATTTCAACATATCTGACCTTCCATTCATGGAGGGGCCACAAACTCCCTCAAACCAATCTTGTAATCTTTTAGTTATTACTTAAAATGGAAAATAGGGAGTTTCTCTAACCTTCAAATCCTCAATTCAAGCTTTTGTTTTGCTTGAACAAACAATCCCAGTACAAACATTCTTGAAGTGTAATCTAGTCCTAATCAAATTAACGACAAAAAAAAAATGCAATCTGCAATCCCATGTAAAGAAATGTTAACCATAAGCTACATAATTCCAATTAAAATCCCCACATAATCTAAAAGAAAGCAAATCGATCATAAAATCACACACATCCATGTAAATAGTATGTGTGTGCGGAGATGTGCACGATTGATATAAGCTTTAATCGGAACAAACAGAACCTTAATTAATAGACCTGCGATGCTAGGTTTTCGATTCCCTTCTCTTTCCGTTTCGTATCACAATCTTCATCTCTCTCTCTCTCTCTCTCTCACCTGTTGAAGAAAGATATCCTAACAGTGGGTTTTAGATTTCAGAGAAGCCTCGTTGGAGAGTTTTTGGGCCAGACAAAAACCAAAGCCCACGATTTGTCAATAGTATAATATGGGCCCCCCGGCCTTGTATCTGTGAACGGGTGGCCCAGTTACTTTTCATTAGGGTAGTTTATCCTCCACTACATATATGAATTATGTTATTCCATTTTTTTATCCAATATTTTGTGAAAAAAAAATTTCTTTGTGTATCCTACCTGATCAAGTGTATTATTTTTACCCAAATTCCGTCCAAAACAATCGGGTAGAAAATCAGATGGATACATATTTTTTAGTTATTAATATTTAGATAATTTTAAGAATTTAATTAAATAATTTGCACCAATTAACTAACACAGTAAACCAATAACACTAAAAAAATATAATAAATTCGATAATTCATAAATAATTACAATAAAATACAATAAGAAAACCTTAAATATCAATACATCATATATAAGAAAATCATAAACATCAATAAAACATTAAGGTTTCTAGATTTTTGTATTTTAATTTGGGTTAATTATAAATTACACTTTGAAAGATTTTTTAAATCTCAATTTGTACCCTCAAATATAAAAAAATCTAAATTTACACCCTTAAAGATATAAATTTGTATCAATACGCACCTGAAACTAACAACCGTCAATTTGTCGTCAATTTGCACTTGATCAAGTGTACTATTCCTACCGAATTCCATCAAAAATAATCGGGTAGAAAATCGGATGAATACATATTTTTTAGTTATTAATTTTTAGATCATTTTAAGAATTTAATTAAGTAACTTGTACCAATTAACTAACACAATAAACCAATAATAATAAAGAAAACACAATAAATTTGATAATACATAAACAATTACAATAAAATACAACAAGAAAGTCATAAATATCAATACATCATATATAAGAAAATCATAAACATCAATAAAACATTAAAGTTTCTAGATTTTTTTATTTTAATTTGGGTTAATTGTAAATTGCACCTTGAAAGATTTTTCAAATCTCAATTTGCACCCTCAAATAAAAAAAAATCTAAATTTATACCCTAAAAGATATAAATTTGTATCAATACGCACCTAAAGCTAACAACCGTAAGTTTGCCGTCTAAAAATAGTTGGGTAAGTTATACCTAGAACCCCCTCAAGTTTGTCACTTAATCATTTGGACCCCCTCACATTTAGAATATGACTCCTACACCTTCTAACATTTGTGCACGTATAACACATAACCACTATCATTGATATCTGTTAATATAATCATTAAAAAACATAATTTCATCTTAATAAAAAATTATAATTTTCATACTATCCTTTATTTTGTGGGCTCGTTATACTTTAAAGTTCAAAATCAAGGTTATCATTTGAATGTTCATTATAATGCAAGTATTTATATAATGTTCTTTATATCCAATACAATATATCCCTTGAACATAATTATTTGGATGCCCAATTAGGAAATTTTTTTAGTTATTTTTGGTTTCTCAAGGGATGTTGGTATAATATTTCACATGTGAGGGGTCTGAATGATTAAGTAATAAACATGAAGAGGTTTAAATATAATTTATCAATTTAGTTTTAGACGGCAACGGTTGTTAGTTATAGGTGCAAATTGAGTTTTTTTTTATCTTTGAAAGGTGCAAATTGAGATTCAAGTGTGTGTGTGTGTGTGTGTGTGTGTGTGTGTGTGGGATAGGATAGAAATACAAAAAATTTGTAGATATTTCACATTTCTACTTGATTTTTTGTGGAATATTAAAAATCTTTTGTTGGTCTACCCAATTCTTTCAAGTAGCCGATCAATAGAGTCGGGTAAGGTAGGGTAAGATCGAAATTTACGGATAATCAAAAATTTGAACACATATACTTTTCATATAGTAAATGTTTTATATTAAAAGAAAAAAAAATACGATAAATGTTTAAATTGTTTAACTCCTATTGTATAGTATTTTCAATTGAGTTAACTCATTGACAACACTTTTTTAGTATTATATGTGACGAAAAGAATTTAAGCATGAGCCCAACAACTTGGTGAAACTATCTCGCTAGCTCGACAAAGTCTTGTAATCTCTACTTATAAAAAGGGAAAAAACATGAGATTCACCAAGTACAAAATCTTAATTCCAATTTGAGATTCAATTTTCGCATTCTCATTTCTTAAGTATCGGAGGGACGACTCTCAGAGCTCCGACCTTTGACTTACTATTGTAGGTAATCTCCTTGGTTGGTTAGAGAGCAACTCTGATCAGCCACTTGCTCGGAGCTAAGTGGTAAATTTTCTGACATCATCAATATGTATGATCGGGTGATTCATGTCATTGTTTGAGATCTTATTGTAGGCAAGTCACATATAATTGGACTAGTTATTTCCTGTGCCTGAAGGTACGGAATAATAAAAATAGTCAACAATAAATACATTTGTATTCACATCCAAAATCAAATTACAAAGATAAAGGATAGAAAAAAAAATTTAAACACCGATTATAGTGGAGGTGAGTTGTAGTAGTGGTGGTAGGCGACAGTGACAGTGGTGAAAAAACGGTGATAGTTGTGGTGGATTACAACGACTATAGTGGTGGTGGCAACCATGGGTAGCAATAGTGATGTTGGTGAACGACGATGATAGTAGTGGTGGTGGTGGGGCAGTGGCGATGGTTGGTGGTGGGCAACGGGTGGTGGTGAATTATGGTAGTAAATGATGGCAGTGGACGACGGTGGTGGTGGGGCGACAACGATGGTGGGTGGTGGTGGGCAATAGGTGGTGGTGGTTTATGGTAGTGAGTGGCGGTGGGTGGTGATAGTGGGATAATGGTGGTAATGATATAAAATATAAGAATGAAATGGTGGTGAGTGATGGGTGGCGATGGTGGTGGTGGTGGTTGTGACAGAGATGGTGGTGGGGTGACAACAATGGTGGTAGAGGGGTGGTAGTGATGATGGTGGCGGGGGGTGGGGTGGTGGGGTGGCGACAACGATGGTTGGTTATGGCAAAGGTGGTGGTGGGACGGCGCCGGTGTCAGCAGTGGTGATGGTGGAAGGAGTTGGGCGGAGGCAGTGATGGTAGGATGGCTGCAACGGTGGTGGCGGCGTGGCAGTGGTAATGGTGGGGCAATGGTGGTGGTTGTCGAGCGACGGTGGTGGTTATATGGGTAAAATATTTGCATTATATTAAATATATGATATGCATGTGTGTCTTTTATTTTATATTATAGATAATTTGGTGTGTAGAATTTGACTTATACACAAAAAATTAGACTATTAGATCTTTTTATGATATAAGTGAAAGTTTACAGTTGTAAAAAAAAGTGAGATTCATATTTAAGTCAACAAATTCAGTAAATTGGAAAATGACATTATTTATATAGTTAAAATTAATTATTAAAAGAAATCATGTCCCATATTTAAATAGTTGATGATGTTATCTTTAGAAAGCTCATAATTTTTGTCCATGTCAAACCCTACAAGTGGATTTAACTATCCAATATGATAAACAAGTTAAGTGGTAAGATTTCATGGATAAAAAGAAGTATATTAAATATATGGATAAATTACGCTGACACTCCTTGTAGATTGGTATAATTATAAAAACACCCCTATAAGTTGGGAACTTTGTAGGCCGGTACATATTCTAAGAACTTTAGGTGAAAAAGTCCTGTAATCAAAAAATATTGGACAAAAGTCCAATTCGACCAGAAAAGACACTTAAGCATTAAAAACCGAAAAATCAAGAAGTAAATCTATTTTTTAGAAACTGATTAATGTAATCCTTTTTTTCTTGGAAATAGTAAACACGAATCCTTCACATTCTCAATTGACATTCTTCCACATTCCTTGAATTTTTTGAATTTCAAAAATCTAAGCCTAGTCTTTCTTTGTATTCGATAATTCTGAAGGTGAAGGCCATGAACTACTTTGAGAGTTTGAGTTGTTAAATGTACTTCATCGACGGCGTAGAGTGATTATGCAACAGTAAGTTTTATAAGTTTTAATAGTTGTTTTGGCGTCGGTGAGTTGTTTTTCCATCAACATAAAGAAACTTTTCACTAAGTTGTTCCGGCTTCGGTGGTATGCAGTTGACTCTTTAACAATAAATTTTGTAATTTATTTATTTATTTTTTTAATTGCTTACATAAAACCCAAAATGAAAAATCACAAGCTCTAATTTTTTGTGGGATTTCGTAATTTTTTGTTTTGAATGAAATCCATCATAGTTTTTATTGTATTTTCAAAGATAATAAGATACAACAATTTCATTTGATTGTATGTTCAATGTCGCATTATAGAAACCCCAAATCACCGAACCTATAATTTTTGTTAAATTTTAATAATTTTTTTTTGAACGAAATCCATCATACTTTAGATAGTGTTTTCAAAGATAATAAGTAAATCAATGTCATTTCAATTTATGTTCAATGTCGTATTGTGTAGTATTTGTTTTTTTGAAAAACCAAATCAGATAATAAGATGTCTTGTTTTGTTCAATGATGCTTCTTTTTCAACTAGGAAAC